GGATATTTAATAAGATGACCTATGATAGTAAATAGAAATCAATTAGATGACTCAACTATTTATCATCTTCTGTTTTAAAAGTAGCCTCTGATTTTAGTGATGATAAAATTCTGATTAAAAATGAATTTAATTTGCTGTGTGACGATTCTAAAATTACTGGAAGTGACGTAGTAGTTCACAACAGCTAAAAAAAAATAATTTAACAATACTATGTATAAAGTTGAGTTACCACTAAAATCAGATCACCCTGTAATACGTGATAACTATAATTTATGTAAATCTAGATTTTTAGCTTTAGAGAAAAAATTTGCAAATAATGGAGATTTATTTTTATCTTAAAGTATTATAAAGGACCAGTTATCCAAGGGTGTAATTCAAAAAGTTTGAAATTTTGAAGGTAATATTGGTGACGTTCATTATTTACCTCACCGTCCTGTAATTCGAGAAGATAAATTAACTACTAAAATGCGCATTGGTTTATAGCTGATATTGAAAAAGCATTTTTAAACATTGCATTATCTGAAAAACATTCTGACTTTGTAAGATTTATATAGTATAAAAACTTGATTTAAATATTAGTAATTTACTTAATGCTGAATTATGCGTTTATTGATTGTGCAGGTTCGGTTTAACCTCTTCTCCCTTTTTAGTACCAGCTACATTAATTAAACACGCTGAACGTTATGCTTCTAATGATTTTAATTTTAGAAAGAAATTATTTGAATCACTTCGTGTTGATGATTCAAATTTAAGTTTTGACTCGGTGTTTTTTTTTAATTTTTTTTTTATTTTTAAGCAAAGAGTTTTGTTATATATTAAAATTTTTAATGAAATTATTTAAAAACTTTGGCATATAAATTCGCCGAATGGTCACACACAAGCAGTGAACGCTTGAGGGAAGAAATGAAGTACATTAGAATAAAGGAGAATTGTTTATTAGACAAAGCATATTTTGACAGTTGTCAAGACAAAAATAAAGGTTAATAGAGGAATATTTAAAAATAAATAAGACAGGCTATACAACCAAAACAGTACTCAACCATAATAACAATAAAAAAAATTAAAAAAATAAAAACAAATAATTAAAAATATATATATATATATATATATATATATATATATATATATATATATATATATATATATATATATATATATAAATAAAAAAAATAATAAAAATTGTTTTATAAATACCAATATGAAATAAAATATACAAGAAATACATAACCAGTCAAAGTTTGTAAAACAAAAAACCATTCAACAAATTAAAAATATGCTAACAACAATAAAAGGACTAATAATAGTAAAAAGAAAGAAAAAAAAAAAAAAAAAAACATTAATGCTAATGTCTAAACATAATTAGTGTAGTGATAAGTAATAAACATCTCCTCAGAGTCGCGTCTATTATTACTGGCGTTTCGATGAGGATCAGCATTTATAACTAGTTTATCCCGTCAGACAAACGTCATCGCCACTTATACTTTACCCCGCGACTTACGCCTATTCCATACTGCAGTAAAAAAGGACTCACTACAAATAGCCAAAACCCAACCAACCCCAAATTTGTAAAGCACCAATATTTCTTTTGATGATATGATATAAACAGTATAGATTTACTGAACAAACAAAAATAAAAATAACTAAATAAAACACTCACCGTACCACCAAAAGAAAACATGAAAACAAAATAAATTAAAATTCTAATAGAAACATAAAAATATTAATCAATTTATTTTAAGAAATAAAACCAAATAGGTATTATTAGCATAAACAAGCCCAAGATAATCAGAAAGCAGTATACCTCATTAAAAAAATTTTTTTAATAAACAAAACAATACCCTTAAATAAACTCTAACGCTGTCATAGATACCTCATTCGAAATATGATAACCAATCAAAAGTGAAGGAAAATGAGTAACCCGCGAAACCCAAAATAATAACAATAATAGAATAATATATGATAGCGAAAAAGAACGTTGCACAAAAACTTTAAAAATGTAAGCGACACATATGTAAACAATAAATGAAGGATATAAAAATATTCTCTGAATAATATTAAAGATGAAAATTGTGCATGTAAAAATTAAAACAAAGCTGAGTAATGAATGCAAGATAATATAACATGAAAGTTTCTGTAAACAGTAATAATATGAAAATCAGGAGATAAGTAATATATTAATAAATACAGCAATAAGACTAACTAAATATTGTAATAAAACCAGATAATTTTAAGCCAAATGAGTGGTTAAAAAATTAGTTGTGGGTAATATAACAATGAAATAAATCGTGATATAAAAACGATGTAGAAAGCGGGAAAAAAATTGTTAAGAAATGAAGTTTTCTCTACGGTCCGAACTAAAAGAAACTTTGAGACCATATCTAAATCGAAATTACCGAAAAGTAAAGTTTTCTTTACGGTCCGAATTAAAAGAAACTTTGAGACCATATCTAAATCGAAATTTCCGAATAATAAAGTTTTCTCTACGGTACGAATTAAAAGTAACTTTGAGACCATAACAAAATAACTAGGAAAAACATACTTCATAAAAACAAGTCGAAAGCCGCTAGTTTATAAGAATCGCTCTTATGCTTATATGTATATGCATATGAATCCTTTAATGAAAAATTCAATCAGACATGATAAACACATATAGATAACATACAAATCTGTATCTACATTGCAACAACATATCTATTAAAAGAAAATATTATCTAAATAAGGATGAGTTCAAACAAAGATTATCTATGAAAGAATAAAAAGCATGCAAAAGATGTAAACAGGCTGTATGTGCATAAGGGTGTATAGGTGTAATGTGTAAGTCTGTGCTGTTTATGTTGTTCAGTAGAGTCTTGTATTGTTAGTAACAAGCGTAAAAGATTTGTCTCTGAACTAAACCAAGCCAGCCCAGCCATACTCCAGAAAAACATGATGGGTTAAACACCTATGCATGGATTTATAACTGAGTTATGACTAAAAAGCTAGCCGAGGCATCTTCCACAGACAAAAATCCTCTTTCGCGGAGACAGTAACTACGATTAGAAAAATAGTCGTGCTCGATGACCGTAACACTAACCCTTACGGGCTAGGCCCAATATTATTTAAAAACTTTGGCACATAAAATTCGCCGAATGGTCACACACGAGCAGTGAACGCTTGAGGGAAGAAATGAAGTACATTAGAATAAAGGAGAATTGTTTATTAGACAAAGTATATTTTGACAGTTCTCAAGACAAAAATAAAGATTAATAGAGGAATATTTAAAAATAAATAAGACAGGCTATACAACCAAAACAGTACTCAACTATAATAACAATAAAAAAAAATAAAAAAATAAAAACAAATAATAAATATATATATATATATATATATATATATATATATATATATATATATATATATATATATATATATATATATAAATTAGTAATGTTAAAATAAAGTCAATAAGAAACTCAAAACCGCAATATAGTAAATCATTTTCACGTGAGTAAGTGCAATGTTACTTACATAACTTTTAATTGAAGTGTCATTTTTTATATGATGAGTTTTTTACCTTTAATAGTAAAAATATTCATCATTGTTTTATGAAAAATCAAACATACATTGTATTTTAAACAAATAAAAACATCTAAATAAACAAAGGTTTGTATTCAGAAATTAAATATTTCACGTAGTTTTAATTTTTAAAGTTGAAAACGTTTACTTCAAATAAACTCGAATGTTGAAAATTTTATGTATATATATATATATATATATATATATATATATATATATATATATATATATATATATATATATATATATATATATATATATATATATATATATATATATATATATATATATATATATATATATATATATACAAATATAAAGTTTTTTTTCACACATTATTGTTTGTGAAGATTAAAAGCGGAAGATCTTTCATTTTGTTTAATACTTTGTAATATTAATTTTTGATATATATATAAAAAAATATTATAATTTTTTAACTAATTTTAAAAATTCTTATTAATACTTTATTATAATCTTTTAGACAACTGTTCAAAATTAAATGGAACCAAATCAAGGAGACAAAATTAGTTCTTTTAAAGGTAATTTTTATATAAATGCCTATTTTTTAATTCTTTTTTTCAATGCTACTTAGTGATAGTAGTAGTAGTAGTAGTAGTAGTAGTAGTAGTAGTAGTAGTAGTAGTAGTAGTAGTAGTAGTAGTAGTAGTAGTAGTAGTAGTAGTAGTAGTAGTAGTAGTAGTAGTAGTAGTAGTAGTAGTAGTAGTAGTAGTAGTAGTAGTAGTAGTAGTAGTAGTAGTAGTAGTATTAGTAGTAGTAGTAGTAGTAGTAGTTGTAGTAGTAGTTGTTGTTGTTGTTGTTGTAGTAGTATAAGTAGTAATCAAATATTACAAATGGTTTTGATGAAATCAATGTGACTGTAAATGTGGTAACATAATAAATTTGAACATATGATATCACAAAATAAAAAATTTAACTTCAATATTTAAATAAGTATGTTTACTCCACAACAAGTATTTGCAATAAGTAAAGGAAAAAATAAATTATCTAGTTATTTTTTTATAAAGGTAGTTTATGTTATTAAAAATAAAGCACAAAAAATGTTTTAAAATGATCAATGCCTGATTTGGAATTCTCGAGTGGAACGACCAGCAGAAGAACCTTCGGTATATTCGTGTAGATCAGACACTTATAAAACGTTAAAAAACATTAAAAAAAAGTTATAAATAATATTTATAACTTTTATATGTTTATATATAAATATGCAAAGGTTTATACATAAATTCAAAGGTTTATATATATATATATATATATATATATATATATATATATATATATATATATATATATATATATATATATATATATATATATATATATATATATATATATATATAAAAGCAAATCCGATAACAGATTGAAGAAGAGTTTGAATGGCTCGAATTGAATTGAATTGAATTGCTTGAATTGAGTTGAATTAAATTGCTTGAAGATTGAATAAGAGTTTGAATTACAGGTTGAATAAGAGTTTGAAATGCTACTAGGAAATCTGATATTTTTACTGCAACTCTGCAAAAGCAAAGTTTTTAGTATCCCGTGTAAAACCTAAATTTTTGTGTCTGTAAATTTATCCAATTTTTTAACTTTTCTTTTTTATGTAAGAAGGAAGTTTGTTTTGTCGATTGTAAATTTTGTAAATTGAAATCATAGTTTGAAATCCAACAGAGATGTTTTAACTTGGACATTTTGTTTAAATTTGAACGTTATTTAATGATAGATATAACTTCTTAAAAATACATTTTACAAATTTTTAATTATCAAATTATATTTTTATGATATTTGATTTTATGATATAAATGATAATTGATCACACTAATCTTTGTATAGGTACTTATAAAGAGAACATATTCGGAATTTTCATCGACATTTTTGAGCCTTAAGAATTTACTCTTTTATACCTATCACGTATTTATTTTTTACGACCATGAAAAAAATATCTCATTTCCGCCCGCCAAACTATTGATTTCCATTATGCTTATTTTTGCCAAAACCAAGAAGATTGCGGAAAATCTTATTGCTTTATTGATCTGTAGGGTCTGTTGGGGTTTTGGGTATGGTTGGGTAATTTAGGTATAAATTGTATTTTCTATATAAAAATTATAACTATATACCCAAATAAAAATTATCATGAATGTGTTCCTCATGCACTTATAAAAGACACATATAAAAACACCAATAGTTATATTGGCAACACTGACCACGGCTTTTTTACAATTTATATTAGCAACACTGACCACGACTTTTTTACAAATTATATTGGCAACACTGACCACGACTTTTTTTACAAATTTTATAGGTTATGTACAAATATCAGTTAAATAAAAAAAAATATATCAAAGCATTGTCATTTGTTATTCCATTAAGATATTTTTATCTAATTTAAGTATGTATACATTAGATAATAATAATTTCTTGTTTTATTAACTTGGGCTACTAATATATATTATTTGATTTGTAATTAATTATTTAAAAGTTCGGGTTCATGTCGGTATAACTACTGTAAACTTTAAAACTAACCTAACTTTTAGTTTTAGATAATGCCGCGCACATATATGAAAAAAAAACTTTTAAATCTGATTGAAAAAACTAAAGAAGATGTTAAGAATGGAAAATCAATTTATGCAGCTGCAAAAAAAAATACAATATTCCGTAAGAAAATTTGAGACGATAGTGCGCGAGTCATTCAACCTATTAACGCGCAGACAGAGGTACAGTATTAACAAGTTAAGAACACGAATATGTAGTAGATGTCTAAATTTTTAATTTCAAATTGTGGATATCCACTAGACAGAAAAGATCTACAATATCTGGTGCACAGTTATATAAAGTAAGCGGGTAGGAAGACACCAGTGATATTTTCGTACACGAGAACGAAAACGAGAACGAAAAAAAAAGCCTTTCGTTTACGAAAACGAAAACTAAAACAAATCTTAAAGTTAGTTTATCTGTTAGAGGATATGTTTTCATTTTGAAACATACGACTCATTTTTATCATTTTAGAGTAATTATTCAATAACGTATACGAACTTATTTATACATTAATTGATAAACAGATAGATAAATAAACATATAAATATACAAACAAAAAATTATATAGGTATGTTTATTTTTTTCTAGCTACATTTAGCAAGAAACCATAAGTCTGTACACGTTGAGCTGGAAGAGTCGGAATTAAAGAAATTAAGTGAAAAAAAGCAAACAGGGATAAAGAGAAAAGCAGTGGATGAAAATGGACCCACTCTTTTAGAATCGTCCTCAAATCAGAACCAGACCTTGATTCAATGCATTAATCGTAGGAATACCGCATGACCTATTAATTCACACGAGCATAAAATTCGACTAAACTCTCTTATTCAAATAATAAGTGCAACATGTAATCCAGTGACATTGGTGGATAATGCGAGTTTTAGAAAGTTAGTTAATACCTTGGATTATAAATTTTCATTGCCTGCTTCTGCCAAAATTACTAGCCTACTTAATGAAGAATTTACCGTTTTAACGAGAAAACTTCGTGACTTCATATCTGAAGGCAGGCGCTTCACAATATGCCTTGATGGCTGGACTAAAAAAGGTCTTACTGCGTCCTTTTTAGGAATTTCGGTTTGTTTTTTTCATTTCAAATCCGAAAAACCAATACATGCTCTGCTTAATTTGTATCTTGTGAAACATCCACATACAGGTGAACAAATTGCTAATTGTTTTGAAAAATGCCTAAAATATTGGAATATTTCCAGAGAAAAAATATTGCTTGTTATTTCGGACAATGGAGCAAACATGGTCAAAGGCATAAAGTTGTCGAGAATGAAAGCTCAAGCTGAACGTGATATACTTATTGAATTAGAAAGTGAGGTTAATGAAGAGCAGATAACAGATCTGGAAGACGATGAGAATATGACAAATAGTGAAGAGTGGGAACATGTTGACTTGATAGTTGATGTAATAGAAAACGTAGCATTTAGAAGATTGGGATGCATTGCACATGTTATACAGCTAGTTGTAAAACTTGCATATGATCGTAAATATCATGGCTTACTTTTGAAGGCACGTGGATTAGTGGGAAAAGTTTGCAAATCTTCTGTTGCATTGGAAAATATTATCAACAAATGTGGTAAGACTGTGATCAGCGACTGTTCTACAAGATGGAACAGCACTTACTTTATGGTTCGGAGATTTCTGGAAATAAAGACATCTATCAACGAAGTGCTTGGAGACCTTAACATTGATTCACTTGCCAATAGCGAATGGATAATGCTTCAGGATTTTGTCAATCTTTTAGAACCTTTTGCCAATGAAACTGATATTCTTCAGACGGATGCACTTTCACTATCCAGTGTTATACCTTCAATACTTAATTTAGAATGTCACCTTGAGCAATTTGGAGATGCCAAAGATGTAGCAGTTAAAATGCTTGAAGATCTACGTCGTCGTTTTGCCGTTCTTTTGCAGCCAAACGATCCTAATTTTAATCCACTGCCATGTGCCGCATGTCTACTTGACCCCACATGTGCAATAGCTCTTTTAGGTAATGAGCATACACAAATCAGAGAGTGTGCAAAAAAATACATTTTGTCAGAGGCTAAAAAATCGGTGCAACATGATTTACCTTTAGCAAGTGCATCTACTCTTTCTGTTGAGATTGCTCCAGACAAAAATGGATTAACTAAATGGAAATTTTTAGCGGCAAAACAGCGAGTAGAAAAAATAAAGCTTATTCCAGGTAATGAAGCACAAAATGAACTCAACAAATATTTTATTGAAATAAGGAACAGCTCTATGTGCCAAAATGCTTTAAATTTCTGGAAGATGAGACGTGCTGTTTACCCACATATTGCACCATTAGCTGAAGACCTCATTGCAGCTCCTGCAACTCAAGCATATGTTGAAAGACTTTTTTCAATCTGTGGCTTGCTCACAAATGGACGGAGAAATCGAATGTCAGCGTCATTAGAAATGCGAGTTTTCTTAAAACTAAATTCTCATCTAGTCTAGATGATAGTCATATAATCACTAGGCCCTTTATTTGTAAAATATATGAGTAATTATTAAAGTCTATACAATAACTATTCATTAGTTTTTATTGTTACCAAATTTGAGAAGTTTTTTATATACCTAATAATTGAAATTTTTTTAAATTTTAGAGCAATAAGGACAGGTTGTTGTTGTGTTTTTTATTAAGGGCGGTGGGTGGGGCTCTAAACTTCTAGCGATGGGACTGGGTGTATTACATTTAATTAAGTTCTCATTTTTTTGTTTGTTTATAGAACTAAGACTTACTTCTTTTAATTATATATGCCTATATTATTTATAAATTATACTAAATTATAATTAGATGAGATAAAAAATTTATACGACAAACGAAAATTGAACTAAATAAAAACTAAAACTAAAATTATTTTAAGATGAACTGATTAAAAACTAGAACTAAATTTATTTACTGAACTGAATAAGAACTAGAACTAAAAACTTTGCCTCTAAACTGAATAAAAACTAAAACCAAAATTATTTTCTGAACAAAAATATCACTGGAAGACACCATTTAAAATGACACACCTGATTTTGACTTCATAATAAATTTTGAAAGAAGATGGAAAAAAACTTACAAAGCCAAAGCCTTAACTGCTGATTAAAGCTTGGGGTCGAAGGGCTATCTAAATATGTTGTGAATAAATATTTTAAAATTGATCAAAACGCTTTGGATGAAAACAACTTAAATGACCACCCAGTAAGAATATTTAATTTAGATGAAACTGGCCTATGTGCTAACCCTACTAAGGGTAAGGTATTTGTTACTAAAAGTGTTAGGATAACGTATTCACGTTCAAAAGGTCCCGGAAGACTGCAGTAAAGTGTTCTTTTTGTAGCAAATCCTGACGATGAACGCTATCCGCATTGTGTTATTTATAAAGGAAAAAGAGAGATACAACCTACTTGGGTAACAGAAAGACCTCCAGGTACACTGTATAGGGTTACAGAATCTTGTGTAGGATGCAGGATTATATTTTTTTTAAATCGTTAAATGCATTTATTAGAAAAAGAAAACACCATGAAAAGCCATTTTTAGTATTATTTGTGAAAAACCATTTTTAGTATCATACTTTTATGTTTACCGCCTCATAAGTCGCATGCTCTTCAACCATTAGACGTTAATGTATTTGCTCCTATTAAAAACAACTAGTAAAATATGTTGAAGACATGGTATCGTCATGTCTTAAAAATGTAGATAAAGCCATTTTTCAAAGTCTTTTAAAGATGTTTGTAAGAGTCTCATTCAAATCTAATCACATAATAGATAGTTTTAAACCTCATATAATAGATGATTTTAAAGCTGGATGGTGAACCCAACCATTCTGGATAGTAAATTTGTTTTAAACCAACCCAACATTTCAACCCAAACAGATCCTGAACTTGGAATTTTTTAAGCTCATGAAACTAACCAATCAAATAATATTGGAAACGTAACAAAAACCAAAAAAGACAAAAGACAAAGGGTTCAAGAAATATCAGCTGACATTTACAAAAAAAATGGGTGTTAAGGTTAGTTTTAGTCTAACTAAATTTACTTGACTAAATTTTTAGTCTAACTAAAATTAATTAACTAACTTTTTAGTTAACTAAAATTAGTCGACTAACTTTTTAGTAGGGATGTACTGAAGCTTCGGCAATTTTGCCGAGGCTTCGGTTCGGCCGAAGCCATGGGCTTTTTTTGCCGAATCATTGGCTTTGGCAAAATATTTTTAATTTTCTAAGCATTAAACTTTTCTAAGATTCTAAGCTATAGGTTAGAATCTTTAATTACTTTAAAATATTTTTTGGTATGTTACAGCATACTTGAACATTACTAAGCTGGCGTTTGACTGAAGAAGACATTTTTTAAACGTTCAAACGACGTCTGTTTTCTGAATAAAACGTATTGTCCATAACATTTAACTTGTCCATAACAACTGCTTAAATTAGACTTGAAATTTTACCCGTTATTTATGAAATAGCTTATCTTTTTTTGAAAATTTTCAAAATTTCCGCAAACTTTCTTGAAAATTTCCCAAATTGAAAAATTTCGTGAATTTTTCTTCCCTACCATTTTTTAAACTTTAGTCATTTAGTCAGAGTATCAATTGCATACAAAGATCGTTTACTACTTATAGAACATATATAAATACATTAACTGAAAAAAAAAAATTATTTATGTCAATCCACCAAAACGATATTTATCAAATTATTTAAATTGCCTTTATTGTTATGTATATTTATAAAAAATGTGTTATTTTTCCACAGAAAAGTGTTAATATTGTAATATTGATCTAAGTGTCAGGAAATTATTCTACGACCAAAAGCAAAAATAATTCGAAACTCTTTTTGTTTGTCCTATATCTTATAAAAAAAAAAAAAAATGTTTTGCATTATGTAAAATTGGTTAATAATCAATGTTTAACAATACTTAAAATTAATATCAAATTAATATATGTTTCAAATTAAATAATCATATTACAAGAAAATATTGTGACACTAACAACAAATTTAAGGGAAGAATCTCAGAAGGAAAGAATATAAGAAGGATGAAACTTTGTTATATTTATATATATATTTTGAATTAGGTTCTGTTCTAAATAGGGCAACTTTACGAGAAAATAGTATATTATATTTATATATCATATTTTATTATAATTATATATATATAATTTTGATAATTTTGATATTTAATAAATTTGATAATTTTGATCTTTGTTTTGGTCATAAACTTAATACTGTCCATAACAAAATTACTTTTTAAGTTATATTAGTTTTGTAAATTAAAAGTTAAAATTGTTTTGAATTATTGTTAGGCAGCAGTTTTATTAATGTCATATATTTCAGAAAAGTAAATTATTTTTTGTTTAAGAATCATAAATGTATAAGTATAATGTATAATGTAAAATTGCACATTTAAAATGCCCTTTACTATGTTTTATCTAATTATGAAATAATAATAAAAAAAAGAAAAAAAAAATTTTTATTGAAATGTTTCTTTTGAACATTTTTAATGTAAAAAGTTTGTTATTAAAGATATTTTCCAAATATTTTTAATACCCATTGTTTTTTTAGTTGCAATTTTTACTTAATACCTAAAATAAGACTTTTTCAAAGCAAAAATAATAAATACATATTTAATAACTTAAAATCTTTTTTGCAAACAGTTGTAAAAAAGTTGTACCAGAAATAGCAAATTTTTTTATTTTATTTGTGATGCTAAAAAGAAGTTTTCATCTTCAGCAATTTTCATCTCAAGCAATATACACTATTAAAAAGTTTTGACTTTAAATCTGACCTTTTTTCCAAAACCCAACCCTAGAAATAGGAAAAAGAAAAAGAAAGAAGTAAAACTGTATTTGTGCTTGCATTCTCATCATTGTAAACAAGGAAAACGCCATATAAACCTCAGATAACTTGTATTGGCAGATCTAATAGTTGCAGAGCAGATTGCACCAACTGTGGATGCAATCTTCTCGATTTCAGCCAAAGATGCATCACAAAGAGAGGTTAATTTGGATCAGTTAAATAAAAGAAATGCCATTAGCTTTAAGAAAAGGTAAATGTACAATAATTATTTTCCCTATTATTATTTTAATCTGATTGGCATTACAAAATATAAATAAGGTAATTTTTATTTATAATGTAATTTTTAGGGTCATCAGCTTTCACAGCGTATATATATATATATATATATATATATATATATATATATATATATATATATATATATATATATATATATATATATATATATATATATATATATATATATATATATATATATATATATATATATATATATATATATATATATATATATATATATATATATATATATATATATATATATATATATATATATATATATATATATATATATATATATATATATATATATATATATATATATATATATATATATATATATATATATATATATATATAGTTGCTTAAAAAGGTGAGTAAGCTGAAATTCTTTGCTGAAGCTGAAAAATAATCAGAAATCCTGAATTTTTGCCATGCTTTGCCGTTCCTTTTTTAACTGATTATGTTTTGAAAATTGAAGATTTCAAATCCAGTTTTCTGAAGCTCCAGATTACTGTCACTTTAAAGGTTTATGCTGTTTTTTCATGTTGTTCAACAATTTATTTATTTATTTAATAACTTTGTACATGTACAATGACAATGTACGGAGCCTAGTTGATCTAGGCTTTAACAGTCGATTTATGTTAAAAATCAGTCCAACTTTGATTTAAATTGTTTAAGTGTTTTAGAATCTACAATGTTTTGATCTAAGTTATTCTAGCTGTTAATAACACGGTTTGTTAAGAAATAGTACTTCTTTGGATTTTTAGTTAATTGTCTATGAAACCTCATAGACAATTGTGACCTTTCGTATTTGAAGCTATTAAATTTGGTGGGTATTTCAATGTTATGTTATCTATTTTTTTACTATTTTGTAAAGTTGGATTAGGTCATTACGTTCTCATCTTTTTTCAAGAGTCGTTAATTTAAAGTAGGTTAGTTAATTTAAAGTAGGTTAATATAAAGTATTTTATCAATACTCCGGAATACTTACTTTTTTATCAATTTGTCAAGATGAAAAAGGTTAGCCTGGGACTGTATAGGAAAAAAGCCACCAAAGCTTTACATTCTTGTCTCAAAAGTGATTGGGAAAGATACAAAAGTTTATAAAAAAAGTTATAAAAAATGTATAAAAAAGTTATAAAAGAATAATTGTTATAATATAAAAAGTTATAATATAATAATTGTTAATAAAAAGTGTAATAAAATAATTCAGAAATCGATTCTGTATATTTCTTTGTAATATTTATACTTTTTTGAATAAAATGGCTTTTTTTTGGGAATAGTCTATAAGTTGTTATAACTCGAAATAAATAACAGTTGTAGAAAAATGTTAAAAACTTTGTTGGAATTCAAATCAAATTTTTGAAATTTCATTATGGATACTTTATGGTATACAGTATCGCCACTTGGGATTTTTCATCACTTTAGGGTCTCAAATTTTCAGGCTGCCTGTCTGCTCTTTTCATGTAGATTAAACAAACGGAATTTCTGCGGAATGATATTTAGCAAAAGAAGGCATGAAGGAAAAAAACTTTTTTTAGGGGGAAACAAAATATTTTTTGCATAGACGTAAACAATAAGTATGTGATAGGGATATGCTAAGTAAATTCTCTAAGCTCAAAAAAATCTATTGAAATTCCGAATAGGTTTTTTATAAGTACCTATACAAATTTTAGTGTGATTAATTATCACTTTGATAATTAAAAACTTGCAAAATGCACTTTTAAGAGGTGTATCTATCATTA